ATATTAAGTAATCCAAAGTATTCAGAATACGTTACTCTCATTGAGTAACGTAACGGAATACGTTACAGAATACATTTTGGGGCATGTATTCTGTAGTAACCTTCCCAACACTGAGCACATGTTATGAATAGTTAAGCTCAAAAAATAAAAGCTCACAGTTAGTCATCCAGTCCAAGTGAAACCCTCCCTCAGAAACATCAGACTCATTATTCTACCACTTTGCCTCCTCAGGGCATGCTATTTACCTGTCAGGAAATAATGGTTCAGATTGTCTTCTACAGCTCTACTTAGTAGGTGGCATTTTCTTTATGCTTATTTGAAAATGCTCTTTGTCTGTGGGAGAGCGAGGACAATGTTCTCAGAGAAAACAGACCAATTTAACACCAATTACTTTCCATGACCGTATAGATCGAACCATGCTGACAGAAGACGTGATTCCAATAACGCTGGCTGAGACGGGCACAAACAGCAGGGGGCGATAATACAGTAACAACACCACTACCTGCAAAAATAATATGAACAGTCTTTAACATATCATTTTATTTATTTATTTTTTACAACACAAATCACTCGATGACTCACAAAGGAAACAGAAAGGGAAAAACAAGCAGAGTGTCCTGATGCAAAACTGAGAGGAGAGAGTGCTGAACGCCTTACAGCCTCCACACGTGTTTTAGAGCATGTGTTCTGCATGCAAGCCTTCCCTTATGTGAAAAATAGGGTCAAATAGCTTTTATGGTTGCTGACAGGCAAAACGAACAATGTGGCTCCACAGCATTCACCTGGCCCAGCACAATGGCTGTGCGCGTCTATGTTTGTGTTAACGCTGTGTGCTTACTCATACATGATATGTCTTTATTGTTTACTGATACCTGGGCAAATTGTGGTGCCTCTCCAGCCTTTCTAACCTTCCAGCTGAATAAATATGTAACTGGAACTCGCGTGCACTTTGCCATTTTTTCTCCCTTGAGGGAATCTCACATATGAGTCAGCTAAATCACATGTGGAAAAGAACAAATACTGCACTGAAAGGCTCAATGGGGACATTAATTCACAGTGGAATTAGACTAAAACAATAAGAAGTGGACATCTGATGGAGTTGGAGTAAACTTGATACTGCACACTTAAAAAAAACAAACCCTAAATAGATAAATCAACATGCATAACACATTGTGTAGCTTGTAACCACTAAAACCTTTATATTTGTCCCTGTAGAACACTGAGGTGCTCACTGCTTTGATCCCCTGCGAAGATGACGCCTGAGGCACAGGACTATTGGGAAGGCGGTAAAAGCAAAACTGCGCCCCAGGAGGATCTCCTGCTCTGCGGGCACGTTTTCCCCAAACATCATCAGCACTAACAGTGCTCATTATGTGAGAGTCACATCGCAGATCGCAATGAGACAAAAATGATGTTTAACAATTATTTTCTTTTAGTGACTGAAACTAAGGGGTGTAACCATGTCAACATAGGCTGTAATAATAAAAGCTTTTAATTTCTAGAGGACATTAATTAAGCGCTAATTTATCTCCATTCATTGTATCTAGCTCACAGACATGCATACTCATACAAAATATATTTTCAATGTGTCGTCTCTTCAGTGCTTTCCTATTAGAAAGCTTTTGCAGACGAGGGCCAGATTTACAGCCGGCACCAAATAATTAAGCTTCTCTTCCACTTTTACAGCACCTCATTTTCCAGGCTCAATTAATAAAACATGGTGCCAGCATTTCATCAACCCCCTCTGGACTTCCCGTTGTCCCAGTCCCTCTTCACGTGCTGTATGAGGGTCTCAAATGTTAACCCTGAAAGGTGGAGCTCCATGTAAACACCAGACGAAACCTGTTATAGGACAACAGTGCAAGAACTGATTATAGGTATATGTGTCAAGATAAAAAGGCCTAATAATTTTTGATACCAACACCATAATTATATGATAAAGCTAAAAAATACCCCAATAAATATACATTTGCCGGAGCTAAAAGTAGCTTTTCAGATGCTGCTAGTTTGTTTGAAAGTCTCATAAAAGGCTCTCACTAGTCATCTCTTTTCATCTGTCAGCAGTGAATTATATCAAGAGGATGTTGGAGTGGTGGTGTTTGTGGTAGCTCAACCAAATTGAACCCCTGGCTTCCCGCCTGAATACAAAGTTAGCTTTGCATAATGGAAAGACAACAGAGCTTACTCCAGTTTCTTTAGTGGGGAGTAGAAAACTTGCACAAGATGTTTGCTTTGTAATTACACATTTACACAAGCTGCTGTACAATAACTCTACCTAAATACAGCAGAATACCAAACTGAATAATATCCAATCGATCTAACTTTAAGTAAACGAGAGTAACAGGGCTTCCAAACCATAAGCCCAAGTTGGACGTTATTATGTTAACTACTTGTTTTAGGCGTGGCAGCAGAGCTGCACACATTAGCCACATATTCATCTAATGACCTGTCAAGTCTGGTTACGCTCTGTAAACCCATTCAGTCCAGTCTGGTTCCAATCCACTCTTTCTTCACCCCCATCCATTTACCTTATCTCATTGCTCTCTTTTCCCATCTATTCATCTTTTCTTTCCTCCTCTCATCTCCTCTTATTCAATCATGGGCATCCCTCTCTTCTCTTTCTTTTTCCAGGTACTCTCTGGGGGCTGTAATCAGCTCAGGTGACACAACACCTGCCCCCATATTGAGCCTCCTCCCATTAACTCCAACAACTTCCTCCTTCTATGTTAATTCCCTTCCCTTCATCCATCCATCCATCCTCAACATTCAATACTTTGTCATTTCACAAAAACCTTTAATCACACATTGTTAGTATAATTGAGTGAGGAGTAGAAGACCATTATTTGTAATAAGGAAAGAGGCTGCACTCTCCCAAGCAGCTGTGGAAGTCATAATGGAACAAACTACGCAGAATTTCCACCAGGTTGTACAGCAAATGTCTAACTGACTAAAGACAGGCTTGTGACAGTGAACATTTAAAGATCCTTTCAAGATCTGTTGGAAAGATCTGCTTTGAATAATAGCTGCTGTCTGATGGTTTAATAAAAGTTCAATTACCTGGTTATAAATTCTTAAAACTACATCTACGTCTCTTCCCTCACCGAAAGACCCAGAATATATAATGTGCAAAGCTCTTCTCAAAATAAGAAGCCGACAGACTTAACTACATATTCATTACTTCCATGCTAATTAATCTTTTGTGATATCTATCTATAGATATAAATAGATTCTAGATGCTATTCTTTATTTAATCTGAGGGTAGAAAACACACATCACACATCAGCTGCTGTATCAGGTCATTCCTGAGTTCTGAAATTTGTTCCTTTATGCACATTTTCATGCCGCACAGTGTTACCAAAGACATCTTCTACCCAGCAGTAGAATTTAAAATCTGTACGTGTCAAACTGCAGGTACAAA